GAGCATTGCTTATTTTATCGTGTTTATATTTTTACAGTCAAAAAGTGCAAAATTTTCACTTAGGACATTTATTAAACGCCTGAATATTCAGTTATTTTACAAATTGACTGAAAAATGTCCATCTGTATTAATATGGCAACGAATTCCAAACATTTTTATATCATCACCAAGAGACTGAAAATGTTACGATGAAAAGTACATTTCTATATTGTTTGGCTTCTAATCCTACATAATAATCTAGTGTGATGTTTTTAGGCCCTTTTGAACGTCTTAATCAATTTTAGTCAATCTGTCAGATTTTTCAGTCAAAATGACTGAAATATTTACACGCTTACAAAGGAAAAGACTTGCGCATCGAAATATCGAAATATTTCCCAACCAAGACGTAGAGGAACAAGAATGAATCTGTCCAATGCTACAGCAAATGAAGGAAAACAAAATGCAAATATCACAATTGCAACCTACCAAATTTATGTGTATAATTTTAGGCAGCTTCCTTGTTCGAGGAATGTATCCGTGAATATCCACACAAAGGAACAATATCCCACACGTCTGCAGCTGTACAAAGAAACTTATTCGATGTCACGTGTCTCAATGTAAACAATCAAATATTTTAAAATATATATCGGATTTTATAACCCGTGTTCGTTTCTCAACTGATCACTTAGATTGTTTCAGGTGTTTCATGTAGCTGTCAAGTCTCAAAGGTCGGCTGAGAAAACCCACGTGACAACTATTTTCATAACGTCCTCGGTTCCTAAAAAAATCCGTTGAGTTAGATAAGAATGAACAATCAATCAACGTATTATCAGTTAACCCTTTGAACAAAGTATGTTGTTTTTACATCAGCACTTCACGCCATGATGTGGGTGTATTCCCTTTGTTTTAGTAAACCGAGACATGTAAACGCTCACTTTTGACATATCCACTGTGCAAGATAACAGTGATTAATCAATCAACGTATTTTCTGTTAATCCTTTGATGACTAGGAATGATCCGTTGATTTACAAGAAAGTAAATCAACTGATCATTTACCTCTTGCTGGGCTGCCACGTGCATATTACATAACACACATTTCACCTCACTTCAAACCTGGATTTAGATTGAATAATTACCCCAGACACAATTAATGCCAAATGGGAACCTTTGTCAGGTATTCTGAGTGGTGCTACAACTAATTATACCTGTAATAAATTCATTAACTGAGCATCAAGTGAATGGCAACGAATACACAAGTTTAGGGTTATACCAGAAAACGTGGATGACAACAAGGGAGTAATATAATATTGTTTATTCACAAAATGTGTTAGGCCGTAGGCCTATTACACAGAAGTATTTACAGAGAGAGGGAGAAAAAAGAATTACCACTAGTTTACATATACAGCCATATCCATACACATTCATACACATGCATATACACAAATAAATATTTAGACTGTATGTAATGAACGAAGTCGAAAAGCTTTGTAGACGTAGACTGCTAGATTTCGTATGATTTTAGAGTTAGTGGATGACATAAGAGCATTAAATTTATTTTTAGAAGGGGTTGTAAAATTTTTAGGAGGAATGTATTCAGCTCTTAAATTATTATAAGCATTGCATACAAGTGTAGGGTTATACGAGAAAACGTGGATGACAACAAGGGAGTAGCAATCGTATTATCGACGCAATCCGAAATCCGAAAATGCTTTCAATGCATGCATACTTTTTTTATTATTAAACTATAACAATCAGGGTATTTCCAAATGACGACATCCGATGAGCTCCGTCGTTCTTTACGTCTGTTTGTTTAGGATGAAGGAATTAATTAACATGCGCCCTTTACCGAAATCTTTATAGACCACGGTCCACCAATCAGTTTTCAAAAATGAGTAAAACAAATATTGCCTCCGCATTTATTTAGCTGACCTTGCAGACGGTAGCCCAGTCTCTTGTCACGCTCAGTTGCGTTGCGTATCATCCGGGTACTCACGGGGGAAAAACAATAACAAAGACAACAACCAGTCCCGGGGAATTGCTTAAGATCAGTGCCCTTTAAATATGCATTTTCCAGAGGCAAGGGAGGTAACTGTCTATAAAACTCCAGTTTCCTCCCTTGTCTAACTGGACTGGACATTCTGAGTTATATTTTGGCTGGCCTAACGAGTATGTATAGTCCAATCATAAATCGCGTAACGAAATCGACATCTGGTTCGTAAACAATATGGCGACTGCCGTGCAGATTTCGGTCGATTGCAGGATTTGCACAACAGGTGTCCCGTCAACTGGGCGTCGACAGATATTTTTCCCAATCTTTTCATGTTCTTAATCAAGGAGCTTATGTGATTTGATGCACTTCGCGTTGTACGACCAGTTTTATTACAATATAGATCTTGATTATCGATCAGACGACTGGGCGCCGCCATTTTGTTGCTATCGAAACTATCTCCCTGGAGTTTTAAATGATGACAGAGCTTGAGCTTGCAAGGCAATCCGCAGTCAGTACGCTGGGCGCAAGGCCATCCTATGTGATCGGGTCCTGAGGCACAGAACGATTCACAAGGACATAAGTGACACCCTATAGAACGTCAATCTAAATGTTCCTGCTAATACGATGAAGGCCATTCTGTTGTTTCAAGATTATTCGCTACCTGGGGTATTATGCAACCCCCATATTACCACAGAGGGTGTGCCTAACCACAAGGCATACAAGCTGTTAACAGTGGGATGAGGTAAAAAAGGTCCCAGTTATAAAATGCCATCTCGAGGATTCAGACAGACAGACAGACAGTAATGTTTATTCAGTATGCAAGGCCATATGGCCCATAGTACAGTAACAGATACATAAAAATCAACGTGATCTTGAACATATATAATATATTCACCTGAGTCTAAATACATGTTTTAAATATATTGCTAAAGATTTGATAACATCATCATTGGTCGAATGCAACAAACTGATCATTAATTGATTGTTTTTGTGTGTAATATCTAAATTTGATAGAAACTTTAATCTCAACGTTTTATATTTTTCACATATAAAAAGAACATGAAACTTGTCTTCAATCTCCTGGTTGGTACAGTTTGAACATATAGAATTTACAAAATCACTATCCTTGGTTCTACGATATTTATTGACAGGGAAGTTATGGAGAGATATTCTAAATTTACAAAGAGCTCTCGATAGAGTTTTATCTTGTAATATACTGAAATATTCTTCTGGTTGTAACAGATTTTTGATACCAGCATAATGCTTGAGAAAGTGTGCAGAGGAAACTTGTTGGTGCCAGTTTTGTTGAAATACATCTAATAATCTTTGTTTAAATGTATGTAAAAATAGTTTTTCATTACCAGTGTCTTGTGATATCCATACAAAAGAAAATCCAGTATAAAATAATATGCTTCTTACACCAGACACCCAATTCGTTTTCCCTTCACCATCTAATTGCTTTAGCATTTTGTAACATTGAAATGTGTACCTATGAGCTTCCATCTTTAATAATGTTATCCAATATTTAACAACACGCAGCTGGCTATGTACATATATACCACAGAGACCAGTTTCATCAAGTACTGCCTATTTGAAGCATATTTACCAATGCATACAAATTGCTCAAAGTACAAAGTGTGAACTTTTTCAATCTCGAGGTTTCCATGGTTGTCAAGGACCTGGCTCCGGCAGATGTCTCACTAGCCGAATTTCTTACCTCAAAGTATGCACTGTAGCTTGACAGGCAGACAAGGATCGATTATAGACGGGGAACACAGAATGCAAACAAGTGTGTAGCCATGAGACGCACACAGTTATTATATATTTATATGTGATTGAGGGCAAACAACCATAGATAAACGAAGCTTTGTACTGTCAAGCAATCCATTCAGATTTTACGGCTTCATCTGGCGTCAGCGGTGGACACAGGTTGTGGTCTAGCAGCCTTTACCTTCGATGTCCACAGGGCCACAATTATGAATGTTTCCGACACATTGTGACTATGTCCATCTATACTTGATAATAAAACACACCTCTGTAAGTGTGCATCTTTGGGTATACAAAGTTGACCCTGGTGGGCGATCACAAGACTGGTGACGATTATTTCATGACACAGTCAAAGGAGAACAAACCCTTTTCAGTACAAGTCTTCTGCAAATAAAGCAAAAATTGATTGATATCATGAGCATCGATCCACGCAAATGGGATCGATGACATGCATCAACCAAGTCCGATCCCGTTAGTCGCCTCTTACGACAAGCGTAGTCGCCTTTTATGGCAAGCATGGGTTGCTGAAGACCTATTCTACCCCGAATCTTCAGGGAAGAACAGCAAAAACAGTTTGGTCTACGACTATCACGTGATACTAAATTAATGATAAGGAAGAGAATATATGGATGTCAATTTCTTTATTATGAGGAACACAACGTTTTGGAGTATATGCTTACTCCTGCCTCGAGATCACCTGATGAAGGAGTAAGCATATACTCCGAAACGTTGTGTTCCTCATAATAAAGAAGTTGACATCCATGTATTCTCTTCCTTATAAGTTTCACTTCTAAATGCCCTTTAAAGACAAGAAAGATATACTTTCTTTGTTGACATGCTCAGAGTGACACACAGGACGTAGTGATTGAGTCCTTACACATAAATATAAGTCCTGATAGATTTAATCGTTCTGGAGAAGATACGTGGGATTGCCTTATTCCTATGCCTTGAATGTCTCTGAGAATGATATTATTGAATGAGGTCGAAATGGTCGAAAAATGCTGGCAGATACTAAACATACCAAACTAAAATGGAGGACAGACTAAACACCTGCTCCTTGAATATCTAGCCTTTCCTTACTCCTTACTTTTCCTTACTTTTGAGGTCCTCTGAGGATCGATGAGGTCCACAGGACTATGTAAGTTAATGACCACATCTGAGTCTGTTCAACACGTTTCCCTTATTCTTTGTAATAAGCGCCGTACTTTTTAAATGTTTTTTGTGTGTAGATTTTACTGATGTTCTGCTCAATGTTTTTTTGCAGCGCCATCATGGCCGAGAGCGCTCCATCTGTGGATGCTGTTCCTGTTTCTGGGAGCGATCAACATGCATCGTCAGCCAACCCAGTGAGTCCCTTGAATACAGCAGCGGCCAGCCAGCATGCGCAGTCGCCCGTCTCGACAACCAACCGCCTTACTCCTACAACAAAGAAGATAGGAGAAAAGTTTTTAACATGTCCGATTTGTTTCGAGATGTACAGTCACCCCAAGTGCCTGCCATGTCTCCATACCTTCTGCCGTCACTGTCTAGACTCCTACATACAATCCCAGGATGCATTTCGTGCCAGAAGGAAGCACGGATTTCCCTGCCCATTGTGCAACCAGTTCTACTTTATTAAAAGCTTTGAAATGCCCTTAAGCCAGTGGGTGGAAGGTATTCAAAACAACTTCATGGTACAGAATATGATAGAATATCTTCTTCCACAGGCCGTTGATCAAGCTGAAAATGTGTGTCCTCTGTCTGTAAACCCATCTCCTGTCAGAAGCTCTATGTCGAATCAAGACAATGTGCCCGAAGATAGTGGTTCCCTGGAGGTCCTTCCTGCTGGACCAAACCCAGATAATGGCCAACACCAGGATGAGGATGCAGAGGACAGCAGCACAGCTGCTCCATCTGTATTGAACCCGTCCATGGAGCCAGTTGCATTACAAAGCCAGCACCCGTCACGATACGCCCCTCGGCGTTCACTGATAGAAACAGGTAAAAGCAACGACCATATTCGACACAGTTTCCCATATGGAGGCATGGCGCTTTCCTATCCAACACATGATTTTTATTCTGAAGTTAAATTGCAAGTCAACATGAACCCCCTGTGCACTACGAAGAGTCACAGTTCTAATGACTTAAACCGACATGAAATGCCCGCCTACTATGTTGATTCGGACACGATGGAAAGGGTTGGCCTTTACAGAACCTCCATAGACAGGCAGTTTTCGGACGTGTGTTGTCTATCTAAAGCAAACACTATCGTTATCACAGACTATAACAACAGCCATGTTCTTCTCTGGGAGGGGTTCTTCCAAGGTTGCAAAACCTATACAAAGGTCAAGGTGGATGGGAAACCGACATCAGTGGCACCGCTGGACGAATCTCTAGAGGACTGTGTCGTGGTCAACCTTCTTAACAAGGGCAAGATTATCTTCATTTCCATCCCGGAATTGTATTTTTTGCGCATTATTGACACTGAGGTCAACGTCCGAAGTGTGGCGATGCTGACCACCAACACGCTGCTCACCGGAAGTTCCATCAGACCAGCCAGGATCGACATGGTCCAAGTTGACAATCGTTTTCAGGTGACCAGAAGGCACTGCTTACTCGAGAACAGCCAGCAGTGCTGGGCCATCTGTACCCCGAATCACATGTGTGGTGTGACAACCGATACCTTTGTGGTCGCCGATACGCTGCAGAAGAGTCTGGTTGGGTATGACATCAAGACTAAGAATGGCAGGAAGGTGGGGGAGAAGAGCTTTTCCTTCACGCCTTTGGGTGACCGGAAGTTCGTCAGTCTTGGTGGATTGTGTTGTCACAGGTCTTCCGGGAGCATCTACGTGGTCGACCACGACGACAATGCGGTGTATCGAGTTCATGTGGGGACCACCGTCAGATGTGAAAAAGTGCTTTGTGAGAAGAATGGCATCAGGAAACCGACATCTGTTTGTTTGAGTCTGCGCGACGAGCTGTGTGTGGTTGACTGGCAAGGTCGTATCTCCGTTTACAAACCGAAATGTGTGCCCAAAGCATAGTCTGTGTGGGAGCAGGGACTGATCTGCAATGAGTTGAAGAGGATTGTCTAGTTGTGAAGATAGGGAACTGTTTGGGTGTGAAGAGGGTGGTATGTGTTGATGTTAAGAAGATTCGCTGTGGGGATGTGAAGAGGATTCGCTGTGGGAATGTGAAGAGGATTCACTGTGTTGATGTGAAGATGTGTTGACTGTGGGTGTGTGAAGAGTATTGACTGGGGATGTGAGCAGTATTCACTGTGTTGGATGTGAAGAGGATTCACTGTGTTGATGTGAAGAGGATTGACTGTGGGAATATGAAGAGGGTTCCCTGTGGGGATGTGAAGAGGATTGACTGTGTTGGATGTGAAGAGGGTTCCCTGTGGGGATGTGAAGAGGGTTCCCTGTGTTGATGTGAAGAGGGTTCCCTGTGGGGATGTGAAGAGGATTGACTGTGTTGATGTGAAGAGGGTTCCCTGTGGGGATGTGAAGAGGATTGACTGTGTTGATGTGAAGAGGGTTCCCTGTGGGGATGTGAAGAGGATTGACTGCGTTGATGTGAAGAGAGTTCCCTGTGGGGATGTGAAGAGGATTGACTGTGTTGGATGTCAAGAGGGTTCACTGTGGGGATGTGAAGAGGATTGACTGTGTTGGATGTGAAGAGGGCTCCCTGTGGGGATGTGAAGAGGGTTCCTTGTGTTGATGTTAAGAGGGTTCACTGTGGGGATGTGAAGAGGATTGACTGTGTTGATGTGAAGAGGGTTCACTGTGGGGATGTGAAGAGGATTGACTGCGTTGATGTGAAGAGGGCTCCCTGTGGGGATGTGAAGAGGGTTCCCTGTGTTGATGTGAAGAGGGTTCCCTGTGGGGATGTGAAGAGGATTGACTGCGTTGATGTGAAGAGGGTTCCCTGTGTTGATGTGAAGAGGGTGACCCGTGTGGAGGTGAAGAGGGTTCCCTGTGGGGATGTGAAGAGGATTGACTGTGTTGATGTGAAGAGGGTTCCCTGTGGGGATGTGAAGAGGGTTCCCTGTGGGGATGTGAAGAGGGTTCCCTGTGGGGATGTGAAGAGGATTGACTGTGTTGATGTGAAGAGGGTTCCCTGTGGGGATGTGAAGAGGGTTCCCTGTGGGGATGTGAAGAGGGTTCCCTGTGGGGATGTGAAGAGGATTGACTGTGTTGATGTGAAGAGGGTTCCCTGTGTTGATGTGAAGAGGGTTCCCTGTGGGGATGTGAAGAGGATTCCCTGTGGGGATGTGAAGAGGGTGACCCGTGTGGAGGTGAAGATGAGGGACTTTGTGTGCGTGAATAGACCTTGATTGTGAAGTGTGCACACACATGCTGGAACGTGTGTACAAGCACCGACGGGTCAGAGTGCAGATGGATGACAAAAGCAGACAAATTTATGGATACCAACTACTTTAAGACTGTAAAGGCGACGTTTCGGTTTAGATCCTTAACTTCTAAGTAATGCCTATCAAATAATTCAGTGTGCAGATGGCTGTTTGAAGGGAGTGAAGAGGATACTTTGGTGTAGTCACAGGATGAACGGATTGTGGGTCACAGGAATGATGTACATAGATCACAGCATGAAGTGCACGTGGGTCTACAGGATGTGTGTATGTTAGTCACATGACGTGATGTTTGGAGTTGGCTTACCTAGTCACATGTCAGTGTCTGTGTTTAGCTCACCTGACCTAAAAGTTCAAGTGAGCTCGTATTGCAGTACTTTGTCCGCCATCTGTCCGTCCGTCATAAACTTTTCACGGCTGCATCTGTGAATTGAGTAAAGAACACACCATGTGTTTCATATAACTTGAGTTAATTTGGCATGGCCTTGAAAAATTATTACCATACAAAAACGAAAAAACGAAAAACGATCGGGTGTTCCTGAACTTCTTTTGAGTAGTTGAATGCCTAATATCTTCATTTAGGTATGCTATGCATATGGCTAGTCAGCACAACTCTGACCTTTGACCGCCACGGGTGACAATATTGTAAACGTTGTTTGGTTCCTTGTCTCCTTATTAAATATTATAGTGAGTGAGTGAGTATGGTTTTACGCCGCTTTTAGCAATATTCCAGCAATATCACGGCGGGGGACACCAGAAATGGGCTTCACACATTGTACCCATGTCGGGAATCGAACCCGGGTCTTCGGCGTGACGAGCGAAATTAAATATTATATACAGAGATTACTCCACGAGTGACTGTCAGATACCATTTATATCACAACGAGTAAAGTATTGTGTTTTTAAATACAGTAAAGTCGCATCATTTTAGTGAAGAATCAGTGTATCTAGTACAGCGTCCGCCCGGAGAGCGGAAGGTCCGGGGTTCGATCCCCGGCCGCGTCATACCAAAAGACGTTAAAAGATGGATGTTGTTACCCTGTCTGGCGCTCGGCATTAAGAGGCAAAAACAAGGACTGGTCGGCTCGGAGTCAGTATACTGTGTCTGAGTGGGGTATTCATGTTCAAACTGCGGCATGGTATCTCAGTGAGCTAGCACTATAAATCGGAATCAGTCCGGACTAGTACAAGCAGCCACACACACACACGTGCATGCACGTCGCTATATAAGTGCAATAATCTTGGACCCGACGTTAAACTCAATTTCACCTCACCTCACCCCATAGCTAGTGTGACCCTACACCAAACAAACCTCCCCCATATGTATATAGATAAGACCAAAGAACATTATTAATTAACACTCTCAAACCATGAAGTTTCGACACAGGCGTAGATGAATTCGACTCACACACGAGTTCCATATCAATGAGTGAGTGAGTTTACCACTTCGGTGAAACCCACGAGCACGGGTATGGTGCTGACAAACCTAGAAACAAAATCGGGGCGAACCGGGATTCGAACCCACAATCATAGGTTTCTGGCGTGCCCAAGGGACGCAACTCTGCACAGCGAATCGCGGCGCCTTAGACGACTGGGCCACCCGTAATCTAACCTTGGGTCACTTCAGCAACTGGTGTGTAAGAAATGAATGCATTATTCAAAGTAAATATTCCAGGCGTCTCTCTTGCCAAGAAACGCCTGTTGACGCGTTTTAGTCTTCACCATGTTATTGTTACCTTTTGGTTGAATTTTAGAAATTATAAAAACGGATAAGTGAGCTACAGTGCCACGTGGTTCTCGTCTTGTCTCTAGCAGGTAGAAATTTATGAATGTGAAGAAACTGCATGGCTACCGCTAGTATCTTTACAGTGAACAGATGTGTCTTAATAACATGTAATGTTAATCTTTTGCTCCATCTAAACTTGTTACCTTATTTACCCTAAACCTACTTGGATGAATTCTGTGATATATATGTGAATTGTTAATAAAATCTTGTTGCATGGAACTTATTACCAGGCTTCGATCCCCCGATCGGGGGTTCGATCCCCGGCCACGTCATGACAAAAGACGTCAGGGCCCACTTGCACAAAGAGATCTTAGCGCTAAGACTAGTGTAAGCCTATGCTAAAGTATGGGAGTTAGGATCATCTTAGCGCTAAGATCGCTTTGTGCAAGTGGGCCGAGGTGTTACTCTTATTGGCGAACGGCATTAAGGGATAAAACAAGGACTGGTCGTCTCGGAGTCGGAATAATGTCTGAGAGAGGTCTGTTTGTTTGTTTGCTTGTTTAACGCCGAACACAGCAATTTTCCATCTATATGACGGCGGTTTGTAAATAATCGAGCCTGGACAGACAATCTGGTGATTGATATCATGAGCATCGATCCACACAATTGGGATACGATGACATGCATCAACCAAGTCAGCGAGTCTGACCACCCGATCCCGTTACTCGCCTTTTATAACAAGCATCCTCGCCTCTTGCCGCAAGCATGGGTTGCTGAAGACCTATTCCAACCTGAGATCTTCACGGGTTGACGGCCCAAGTGGTCTAGTGGATTGTGACATAGTGTATTTATTTACACTGATATGGTTTCGTGATAATGTAAAACACCACGGGCGTCTGTATATAAAATAAATACAACCAAGCCCCCCCCCCCCCCCCCCCCCCGATTCTTCGAAGATAGTTGAAGTGGATATAAAAGGTCACAGGTATTTGGTGACTCTTAAGATATTTAGTTTTCCAGGTATTAGACCGCCTCCGTGGTCTAGTGGATAGAGCGTCTCTCTGGGGTGCGGAATGTCCGGGTTCGATCCCCTGCCGCTTCATACCAAAAGACGTGTGATGGTTGTAGTTGTTGTTTCCCTGCCTGGTGCTCGGCATTAAGGGGTTAAAACAAGGATTGGCCGGCTCAGAGTCAGGATATTGTGTGTGGGTGGGGTATTAATATTAAACTGCGGAATGGTATATCAATGGGGTAGCTCTGTGACCGGCATTAGGCCAGACTAGCACACGCACGCACGCACGCACGAACGCACGCACGCACGCACACACACGCACATATAAAACTAAAATAATAATGATCGAGACGTTGCACCCCATTTAGCTCACCTACAGATACTGTTTTGTAATACCGTATTGCAGATATTATATCTTGGGAAGATGAACGAATCTCAGTATACGCTCAAATGTGTATTTGATCGCATCTGAGAAAATAGTGCTGCATTTGAACCAATCACGGTGAGATTTGCGTTGGAACCGTTACGTGAACCGTTATATAGAGAAGCGCATGTAAAATATATCCAAAGGTGAGGTGAAATGGAGTTTAAAGTAAGGTACTGATGAAACAGCTGATCAGATAATCTGCTGCAGAAGTGGACAGATGATATTTGCTTCGATGTCTCTAAAGATGGAGTCCACTGTATCTGAGTATACTGCGGGCGGAAAGGTGGCCTTGTGTACATTTAAAATAGTGGGGCGGTACTGTAGCCCGCCTGAGTATACTTCGGGTGGAAGAGTGGCATTGTGTACATTAAAAATAGTGGCGCGGTACTGTAGCCCGCCTGATTATACTTCGGGTGGAAAGGTGGCCCTGTGTACATTAAAAATAGTCGGGCGGTACTGTAGCCCGCCTGAGTATACTTCGGGTGGAAAGGTGGCCCTGTGTACATTAAAAATAGTGGCGCGGTACTGTAGCTCGCCTGAGTATACTTCGGGTGGAAGGGTGACCTTGTGTATATTAAAAATAGTGGCGCGGTACTGTAGCCCGCCTGAGTATATTTCGGGTGGAAGAGTGAGTGAGTGAGTGAGTGAGTGAGTATGGTTTTGCGCCGCTTTTAGCAATATTCCAGCCATATCACGGCGGGGGACACCAGAAATGGGCTTCACACATTGTACCCATGTCGGGAATCGAACCCGGGTCTTCGGCGTGACGAGCGAACGCTTTAACCACTAGGCTACCCGACCGCCCCTGGGTGGAAGAGTGGCATTGTGTACATTAAAAATAGTGGCGCGGTACTGTAGCTCGCCTGAGTATACTTCGGGTGGACGGGTGGCCTCGTGTACATTAAAAATAGCTGCGCGGTACTGTAGCTCACCTGGATATGTAGTCAACTGTTTAGAGTTTCAGCACAGACATACACGTAACAAGGGTTGCTGTCAGCGTTGATAAACAAATAATTTCTGTATAAAACTCAACTGCAATGATATGAACAAAATATTGTCATTATGAGGAGAAACATTCATGTCAAAGTGAAGGTACCTCAGTCTGGCAATTTCAGAGGAGGAGACTTTTTTGTAGCCAAATATGTGTTGAACTTGAATTCCAACTCAACAGATACCAATAGCCTTAAACAGATCTTTTGATATGGCCGTTGTGGCGGCCATCTTGAAAATCAGAATCGATCCTCTGGCCCAGCGGTTTCTGAGAAGATGACGTTTATAGTGAGAAGAAACTCATTTTGAGAGAATTTAGGTTCAAAGCCAAGGTGAAATCAAGTTAAAAAAATAAATATCGCAATGAACGGGACATATTAGTTGATCTAGGAAGTAAGCATACGCAGTTTAAACATTATGTAACGTCCCTTAGAATTGAACCTATTAAACAGACTGACGTGTTATCATTGAACAAGAATGTGATCTGGTTTCTGAGGAGGTGTTTACGATGCACGACGCATGCACGGTACACAAGGGACAACGTACCAACATAACATAAGCCCACTTTACTTTCAGTCAGGTGAGCTAAAGATGGCATGTAACCTTCTGAGTGAGTGAGTGAGTGAGTGAGTGAGTGAGTGGGTGGGTGGATGAGATAGATCTGTTTTACTTAATATATTCCAAAACATAATGGATGGCTACACCAGTAATAGGCTTCACACAGTGTACATGTTTTGGGAATCGAACCCAGGTATTCAGCGAAAAGGAACGAGCGTTTTCGCCCGTAGCTAGGCTACCCTTTTCCCTGTTCTCAGATTTGCGTCCCTTAGACACGCCAGGAAGCTATGATCGTGGCTCGAAGCTTGGTTCGCCCCGATTATGTTTCTAGATTTGTCAGCACCAAACCCTTGCTCGTTGGTTTCACCAAACTGGTGACGTCTGAGACTTTGGGTTTTCCTTCCACATTAAGCTGACACGCCGTGATGTTCCTGGAATACCATTCAAAGCGGCGTAGGACCGCCTCCGTGGTCTAGTGGTAGAGCGTCCGCCCGGAGAGCGGAATGTCCGGGGTTTAATCCCAGTCCGCGTCATACCAAAAGACGTTAAAAGATGGTACTAGTTGTTACGCTGTCTGGCTAAAACAAGACTGGTCGGCTCGGAGTCAGTATACTGTGTCTGAATGGGGTATTCATGTAAAATTGCAGCATGGTGTCTCAGTGAGCTACCACTATAAATCGGCAACAGTCCGGACTAGTACAAGCAGCCACACAAACACACACACGTACATGCACGTCGCTATATAAGTGCAATAATCTTGGACGC